AAGTGAAGACTGTTTCTGATTCTGCTGGGAAAGCTTCCCACATCGAACAAAACCTCCCTACTAAAAGACTACATTTTGGAATCTGTCAGCGAGACACTTCTTAATCCTCGTAATGGGTGACCTGTTAATTCCATGTAATGCGAGACTTGAAATCAAAATGTCATGTGGTATTAAGTCAGACTCCTTGCAGAAATCCAAGTATGTCCTATCAATACAGATGCTTTTCTCATGCAGACCTGTAGTCTTTTATAGAAATCTTCTAAATAATCAAAAATTCCACAAGTGTGTCTGACAAGATCTAACTTCCACTAACCTACTTTGACCAGCATTAAAAGTATATATTCTCCAATTCTTTTTCTAATATTTAAGTATCCCCAGAAACGTATGCTATTTTGTGAGCAGCCCAAACCACCAGTTTCAAGTAATAGATGGCACATAGAAAAGAAATATGCTTCCCTACTTATATTTTCCTCTAAATCAGAGCTAGGTGGAGTATGAGCTGAACTAGTTGAGCTTATTTACAACCGTTGTTTCCCTTTCAGAGCTAATGAATTATTGACAGTCTAAGGATTTTCTGTTATTTAAAACAGAAACTCTCTTCTATAATACAGTGCAACTCCTCACTATGTAGATAAGGGAGTATGTGCAAAACTAGCAAGATCTTTCAAAATGACAGAACCTGACAAATACAGGAAAACAGAAGCTACTGGTACTTCTTCAACAGATGGTTTAAGGCCCAGTTCTCAAACCCCTGCGAGAGTAGCAGTGCTTAGAAATCAAGACGGTTTCCAGAACAATGCACATTGCTAGCACAGTGAGATTAAGGGACACAAAGTATTTGTACCAGCCCTCCTCAAAGATGGCTTTTCTCCATTATTAGTCTTCTTGGGCCAAAACCTCAGCACCTGTAAATGCAGCAGCAGTGCCCATAGGCTGAGAGGAGCATGAAGACTTGACATCCATCAGCCTAGAGAGACACCAGTAGGTATCCAGTTCAGGAACACAGCCATAGTGTGAACTCTATTTTTCTGTTTCTGTTGCTTTTAGTATGGGTGGGATACAACATTTTGTGCTTTTTGCAGCTCTTGTGGCTCAACGCTGACTACTGCTCTGGGCCCAGTGTGCATCCTCCCTTTGAGCATGGAGTAATCCCAAGGGGAATCTGCTGCCCACACACCTTTGCACTGTCCTCTACAAAGAACCCACTCTGGCCCATAAACAGGAGAAATACTCTCTCTAAACTCCAAAGCACATGCCACTAGAGGTAAAACCACTGTGAGATTTAGTTCTTTAAAGTACCTATGTCTAGAATATGAATTTCATACCATTGTTGGCTATGAAAGGAATTGATCCTCCAATAAAAGGAATATTAGTTAATGGATAAGGAGAAGGCCTCTGAATTTATCTCACCACTGGAAGAAGTGGTATTCTTTGCTGATTTTTGTACAAAGTTATTAATATCTGGGAAGCTTAAAGGAATAGATAGTACCAGATGATTCCTTAATTTAGGCATTGAAATATTTTGTCAATATTTATAAATTTTTAGGGATCCAATCTTGTAAAGTCTTATTTATATGAATAACTCTGGCAGTCTCACTGCAGGTTTTCTGCATTAGAAAAAAATAATTTGTATAAAGGTTAGTAGTACTGGGCCCTTAAATATTTATAAACACTTAGCAAAATTATTTTCTGAGGTAAACTTAAGAACCATCTGGTATCACCTATTATTTTATGACCCCCAAATTTTCATTAGTGTAGCAGTCAGCAAGTATTAGCAGTTTCTGTCTTATCTGAAGGCAGCCAAATGACCTTATCCTTTAAACTTATATCCTTCCTAACAGAAGACTAATCCTTTCACTTCTACTTATCATGTAAAATGGACATAGGATGCCAGCAAGCTAATGAGCAAATCTGCTAGCACGTTCATGGAGATAAGAAGTCTCTTCCACCTATAATAATAGTAATATATTCTTTCTACTGCACACACAGCCAACTAAGGGGGGGCATGACATCAGCTGTATTTCTGTTCTTAAAAATCTGTGACATTTTTAACAGCAAGTAGTTGTGCATCCCCTCACAGTAATTTTCCCCAGAAAAAAATACTTTCTTCTCCTTTTCAAAAATATATTAAGCATCCATTAAATTTCAACTGAAGTTACAGATGCGTAGCTGCTCTCAGGAGTGAGTCTTTGAATACAAACCTACAACCCAGCTACTCATGTGCAGCTGGTCAAAAACCTTTTTATAAGCTGTGATTTCAACAACAAAAATAAGTATTTCTGTCTTTCTTGAGGTTCTTTTTTTCCCTAACACAAGCAATCACACTGAAATCAATAGGATGAATAACATCATGGCTAATGTGGTAAGTTATGCAAGCTAAGATCAGTCTTCCCTTATATTGTTAAGATATTTAACTATGTCAGTTGTTTGTTCCACAAAATACAACTAGAATTTCAATTTTAGAGAGAAATTACGGCATGGAAGACATCCATTTTTATGTAATCAAATAAACTTTTTTTTTTTTTTTTTTTTTTTTTTTTTTTTTTTTTTTTTTTTTTTTTTTTTTTTTCTGTTGAGCCAAATGAAAAGCAGATCTGCTAATTTTCTTTTTCATTAAAAAAAATATTTAACAGCAGCGAGGTCATACCAAGGAGGTTTGCGATGCTTGTCATATAAATATTAGCATTGCGGGTATCAGCAACCAAGTGCATCCATCCTGGGTGCTACACCCTGTTATCAGATGCCTATATACTGAACAGTGAAAATATAAACCCAAGATGAGTTTGAAGAAATGACTCCTGCACATTAGATTTTGGGCTCTCAGCAATGGTTAATATCTTTCTACTGCCTTAAAATGAATCCGAGTTGGTTTCAGTCAAAGGAATAAAACTCACAAAGCCTGAAAATCATTTCCCATTGTAAATAATACAGAGCTGGCAGTCCAGTCATGGCTTCTTCTGGTCACTGACTTTGTGACATGATCCAACACCCTGTAAACTAGGAATGCATGCTCATGTACTAAGTTTTATTTTTAACTGAATATGTCTTCAAAGATGGGTTGAGTCAGTCAGCATGAGGAATGCGTAAGGAACTGACAAAAGTGATGTTTATCAAGTTTCTTCGTATTTGCTATTTCCTCTTATACTAATAAGAATGTGAAATGATAGGCATACATAAAAGTGTTCATAAGCCAATTTGCAAATATTCTTAGGTGCATAAAAGCAGGTTTTGCTAGAATGCAAAGGCCTGGTCTTACATTATCTTGTTAATACGATTCAGAGAGCTTATTCAGAGAGATAAGTATTTACTTGGGTAGCGACTCCCAGGACTGAGGTTTCATGATGGAGAATGGCATTTAGCAGTCATCTTAGTTGCATGTTTTTCCTTCTTTCTCCCCCACCCCCCACCGAAAAAGATGACCTATCTGTGGCCATAGCAGTGGTCCTTCTGACCCAGCAGTTTCCTTTTAACAACAGCCTATATGGAGACAAAACGGTTTTGTACAGTTAGAGGTAAAAAAAAGCCGCAAGGAAATCCAATCCTTTTTTTTTTTTTTTTTTTTTTTTTTTT